TACGGCAAGGCTGGGATGGTCAGTTTGGTAAAGTAAATCCGTTGGGCATCTTTCTTTGCCTTTAGACAACAATTCTGATGCAAAAGAGCCAAACGGGACAGGCAAAAAAAAAAAAAAAGAAAAAAAAGAAATGTGTTGGTTTTAGCATCAAGGCCCAACTTTTAACTTTATTTCTTGTTTGCGTCACTTTCACTACTTCCACAGAGTAATTGCAGAGTTTTTCATGCAAATTATCATCAATTACCCCAAACAATCACAAGGGAGATCTATATGACTAGTTTCACCCTGCAACAGTCAGCACACAGATTTTACTCCAGCAACAAGGGGTCACTGACCAGTCTCTGTGACTATGGTATATAAAGGCTGGTATCATTTGCATTGCAATGAAAATGTGTGAAGTTTTTCTAATAATACTGGGGAAGCACTGGTCCCAGCAGAGAATCCTGCAGAACTCTGTGACTAACTTTTGTGTTACAGACACATTTCCACGCACAAACTGGAGTCTAACAGATAGATGTGATTCACACCACTGCAGCAAAGTTCCTTTAATAGCCTCATTGTGTTCTGTTCTCTGTAACAGCATTGTATTGTGTTGTGAACTGAATGTTGCACTGAGGTCTAGCAGGACAAGCATCACGATGAGTGCACTGTCAAAGGCTATAAGAAGATCATTTGTAACCTTCACTGTCTTCGCTGTCTGACAAATACTCTTCCAAGATTCTTTAAAATATAAGGTAAGTTAGAAATCAGTCTACAATTAGCTAAGACAGTCAGATGTTTGCTTAGAAAGTAAAGGCTTAATCACCGCCACCTTAAAAGTCTGTGATACGTAGCGTGTTACTAAAGATTAGAACTGAATCGTGCTTTGTTCCTGTTTTCGTTTCATCAGTGACGAGCAGTAAGGCGTCCTCGCTTAGCAGAGGGCTTTTGTTCATCAAGCAAACGGAAATATATAAATGAGCGCAACGCCATTTCCTGTCCAGCTTATGTGTGGTCTGCTCTAAGGTGAGAGGAACACATACAAACTTTAGATCAGTTTGAGGTATCTCTTCCTTAAACATAATTACAACACTTTAAGAAAGATTATTATTGTAATTGTTATCCAAACATGGGGAGACAGAAGAGGTTTCTCAGGAAATACTCTTTTACTGGTTTTGACTTTACAGTAAAGGTGAACAAGGAGTCAGGCTTTCAGCTGAGCACTCCAATCTGTGGTTACAGTGACAGATTGCTGCCACTCCTCCTCAGGCTGTGCTTCAAGCATTCTGACAGTTTGCATGACTCGGGGTGTTGATGTAAGGATTCAGCCTGCTGTAACCATGTGTCTGTAAGGCACAATCAATACGTTGATCAATTATTGACACTGGTTGTTTGGAGTAGTAAATATTACGATGGTTCTAGGGGCTCCTGCCCAGACTGGGACCAGCCAGGTTTCCCAGTCTGGCCCCCACAGAGTCTGAGCTCTTTTGTGTGGATACACATCATTTTAGTTGGTCTGATGATGACTTTATTTTTCTGAGTGTGTAAAGAGACGGAGAGTGTAACTGTGGCCAGAGGCCTTGAAGAACATACGTCTTGGTTTGAGGACATGTTTATGGGCAGACTGGAGAGCACTCCAGCACGTGTTTATTGAGGACCACAATGCGATCAAGAGAGACAGGCTCACAATGGTAGGTTGTTTGTGTCTGTGTGTGTCTCCACCCTCCACCTGCACCTGAGTTAGGTTTCACTTGTGGAACGAATCATCCAAGTCAGCTACAACACAGATGCCTGTTTGAAACCCAACGATGTGGGACCACTGTAATGAGATAATGAAAAGACTACAGGATCTACTCTTCAAATGTGCAAAGCGTCAAATATCTCAGTGTAAAATCATATATAAGGCCATGCTTTGATCTTTATGGAACTATTACTTTATTTGAAAATGTTGTTACTTTGGGTGTGAAGGAAACGGCTTCCAGGGCCTAATCCGTGGATCGGCTTCCTCCGAGGCGTGGGCGTCTATCAGCAGAGAATGTCCCTTAGTCTGTAACACAGTCAAATATATTCTCAAGTAATATTCAAGCATGCCATTCAGCGTGTTAGTACGAGCTCGGGAGCAGCTTGGGAGAACAAGAAAACAGAGACTGCTTCAGGTTGTCTTCCCAAATCGACTCAACTTTATTCACAAGTACAACAGTTTATATAGAGGGAAAAATTCATGAGTCAGCAGATTCTCAGTTTAAACCAGTACAGACCAAGATAAGGGAGCGTCTTCCTGCCCTTGGGTGAAGAAGCACCCTTTGTATAGTTTATCAGTTGTGATTATCTCAGCGACATATTTTCAAGGCACGAAATAAAGAGTTCTTTCATTAGTGAATTCTGAAACAAACCATCTGGCCTTCAACAGGCGTCTCCTAAGAGATTTAGAAACTAATGTAGCTGAGGGAGTGATCTCTGTGGTATTTCAACCTTGTACCAGCCTGTGATTCTCACACATCAATTCTTGGGTCAAAGAGAAAAATAACTAAAACAAAGGGGCCTTATTGAATGACAGAGTTTTCCTGTATAATGTCACTATAAAACAATATCCAGTAAATGCTCCCATGGTACTAAAATACCTAACAGGGTGCAACTCAACAATGCCTCTGCTCAGCCCTGGCGCAGGGAGCTCTTCAACTGACAGGGAGGTTGTTCCATCCTTGGAGGAGTTCACTCTGCAGGTGGGGGAGAGTCACAGGAGAGGTGGAGAATAAACTTAACCTGGGTGTCTACTGTCTTGTGCAGTCTGGGAGATGATTGAATGTTAGGGTGGGTACAGTTTCCTCTGCGGTGGGGTCAGGTGGGCTGCCCCGGGTCCTGTGGGGCAACAAAGGTCGATCAAATGGATCAATATGGCAAGGCCGTGGTGATCCATTTGGCAAGTAAATCCATTGGGTCTCATTGTTGGTCTTCAGACAACAGTTCTGACGGCAAAGAACCAAATGGGACAGGAAAAACCCCCCCAAAAAACCCAATGCCTCCACTAACTCGTTTAGCTAATAGCCTGCATGCCATGTTTATAACTCTGCTAACTTCTGCAAGAAGGACACCAATCTCTTAATTTCTCAAGTGATGTTTGCTGTTGGTGAAGTTTGGCTTCAGTTGGTCTAATCCATCAACTATCACATGAGGAAGTAAGGAGGTGTCATATTCAGGAGTGGGTTGGCCAATTGTCTTGGCTCATGCATCATTCTGCTAGCTCTGCATCTGTAGCTTCTTGAGAATGCGATACATCATCACCGTCTTGTCTAAGACAGATTTGCACAGCGGCTAAGAGTTTTTCATCAAAGCGAAATGTGTCATCAAGTATCCAGAATAAAAGATGCCATGTGCTCCCTCTAATTCCTCTTCCTGGCAAAGTAGACGGTCCAGAAAACATTTAGACTATTCAGTCTTGTCCGCCAGCTTGTATATCTGCACTGTCTCTACCATAGGTGTGCAAAATATAAAAATCATTTTATATATGTATAAATTGCATTTAATTGCTTGTCGTTTGGACAGAGCCTGCTAGAGAACCTAGAGACTTGCAGGCTAAGGAGTCGTGTATGTTGGGTCACGAATGTCTTTTATTGTGATTTTATATCCATGTGGTGGCGGGAAGCTGGAGCCACATTACATGACAAACTGTTTTAATGGTTTCACAGCTCAGATTTGTCATCCAGATTGTTGTCTATAAATAATTACATCACATTAGCTCTGCAATAACAACTGATGCCAATTCACTGTCCAAAATGTAAACAGTAACACATTAGAAAAATTACACACCTAGAGACACTTGCTGACTTACTGACAGAATAATACCTTCATTTGAATTGACCTATGGAGTATTAATCCTTCGATGTCGACTTTTTCTGTTGTTTTGTAGCAGAATTGACCCATTAATAGGGAATGCGAGCTGGTTTTGGGCCATCATGGTTAGTTTTAATCTACTGATGATGTGTTGTTGCAATAGTCAGTAAGCACTTTGAGTAGAAAAACGCTATATAAGAGCCAGTCCATTTACCATTTACAAGACGAAACAAAGGTCAGACATTTGGGCTACCTGCTTGACTGTAAATCAGGACCCTGCCTAGACACAGTGATACTGTGGCTCTGGGAATTTCTGGATGGTCTTGGATAACTGGCCGGTGAAGGAGAGCTGTTTGTAAAAAGTTCCTCTAAAAGGATCAATATGTAGGTCCGCAGGTAGGCTGGCTATGATGGTCATGTGCACCATTACACCACCCATTCAACGGGGGACTGACAGAGTCAACCCTACCATTAAAATTAAGACTCATCAAACTTTTTCCTTCTAATTTTGGTGACTTTGTATGAATTGTAGTTTCCTGTTCTTGGAGGAGGAAATAATGACAACACTCGTAAAATAGTTAGAAAATGTCACCTGCCTAACACTTCTCAGTCCACTGACACGCCGGCACATCCAAATCACGTTTCATCTGAAACTGTGTAATGTGAGATGACCTAGTGGCAAGACGTCTCTGTTTCCACTACTGTAACAGGTCTGTTACTGCAAACCCGTCCCATATGGACACTCAAAGTCAGATTTAATCACAATGAGCGTGTTACAGCTTGTCTGCATAGATTATTGTGATGGGACATACTTTCTCTAAAATTTCTGATCCTATCCAAGCACCACCTGACAGAGCAGCAGTATTCGATGCCCTGTGATTGGAATGGTCAGCTATTGCCCATAACAGTAAAACATATTGACTAGTGTGGTAAATTACTTTGTGCAGAGACATCGCCTTTCTGAAGTAGCATGGCAATAAAAATGGCCAGACTAGTTAGGAGCTAGAGAATCCACCAACCCCGTAGATAGAAGCGTACACGAGTTCCACACAAGACAGAAGGAGACACAGACAAAGTGGATTTCAGTGTCATTTTATTGTGAAAACAGGATAAACCACGGGTCACGCTGCTGTAGGATCCACCCCACTCTCCCACACAGTGTACATTATTCATTATTCATGATTTTGGAAAGTACCCCTGAAAATGAACAGAGTAAAAGAGCACAGCGAGAGGCTGTCCCACGAGGAAAAGCAACATATAGAAAATTTGGGTGTGTTGCCATGGTAACGTGAGCAGGGAAGCAGTATGGGCCGGTATCTAGGAATAAATAAATAAATTAATGGTACATGTTGGAACGAGGGTCTCGACTTCCTGGAGCAGTGGTGGCGCGCACACATGCGCACAAACTCCACTGACACATAGCTCTTTGATACAGCACACATGGTGAAAACGCTGATGATATGGAATAACGCAGCATCACACACTGATCGTTTAAATTAAAAGGTCACCCGCACATTACAGCGCAACATCCGTGCCACCTGGCAGCACGGGAAGCAGCTGGAACCACGAGAGGTGCGGGGCCTCTGCTGAAGGACGTACACAACATCAGGTCGACACAGAGACACGTGAAACCTGCTTGGACAGGTCATGCCCATGCTAATGCTAACTGATTTGAAAACGTGCCTAGATGTCGCTGAGCATGCGAAAGGCAGGCCTACTCAGGCTCTAACTTTTCAAACACTGATTAAGATCACTTATAATAAACACCATCTCAGTTTATTATAACTTGGGTTGTTAGTTTTGGAGTCATTGCTATTAAATATTTATTGGCAAGAGTAACAGTGTTACAACCAAGCTAACTATTTGCATCTTAAACAGGATCAATAACTGGGAAAAGATGGTTACGTTTTTGGAAATCTGACTTTACTATGTAGGTACCATTTTCGGCCTGTATACTTCATAAACACTTTAGAAAGATTTACATTTGATAGTTAATTTTGTGCAGTTATATTTAGCAAAGTTTTCAGCTGTCAGAATGTTAGCTTGTTCTGGTGCTAGTTGGATAACTAATCTGTGCTGTACATATTCATACTATTCTGCTCTGCTAGTTGTTGGGATTGTTACAGATATTTTGGCTGAGTCTGCTGCTGTTTGACCTAAAAATAAAGTGGTTTAAGTCTAGAGACCAGTCGCACCCATCTGGCAACATCTGTTTGCGAGGGGAAAATGTGTATTCCCCAACCAGTTGGCAAGTGGTTGCTGGAAGCTGCTGGCAGCCACTGGGTGAAGTCAAAAAAACTCCAACTGTTTTCCAACCAGTCAGGGAATACCCACGTTTCTCTTGCAACCAGCGGCTCACTTAGAGGCCTACAACACTGAGACAGTCGATTTTATAGCGACTGCCAACAACATCCAAGTGCACCAACTGGTGGGGGATAAAATGTCCACAACTTTTTCATCCTTTGACTGCTCTGACTTGTGTGTCTTTAACACTAACCTGTTGTGGTGATACCGGTATTACCAGTTTGTTGGACAAAATACTCCAAATAATCCAAGCTGTAATAAACCGAGCAGCTTCTGACGAACGCTCATTTGCTTGTAGTTTTCAGGATCATGTCCGTCCCACAGATTTCTAAAAATAAAGCTGAAGTCATACCTGATGACTTCTTTATTGCAGGTATGCGTAAGGTTATAACTGAGCATGTACGCCTTCTGTCCTAATGTGACTGCAGGATGTTCACTGTGTCTCTGTGTCGCCTCTGAATGAAAGGCACAGAAAAATGAGAGTAGTAATGTGTGTGTGTCTGTGTGTGTATGTATGAGGCAACCAAAGTAAGTCATAAATATCACAGCTCAAAAAATAACAGCAGAATGAATGACATCATGTTTGGACTGTACAAAAATATCCTGTGCTGGGACTCAGATATGTCTGACACGACACAGGCAGAGGACGCATGTAAGAAATCATCCTGGCTTTGTCCTTCTGTGCTGATGATATGATGCTTATTTTCAAATATGGTGTCTCTGCTGATGAAAAGTGTCCCCACAGAGAGAGAGACTGAAACGACCTTTGTGTCTCCACTGCTGTGAGTGAGCGAGTGGAAACAGGTGACGAGGGTTAGGTCATTAGCCAAACTAGCAGCGTGCTCACCCACTTAATTTGTATCTTCTACCTTTATAATCAGCTCTTTTTTAGCATGTTAACAATCTGAACTCTGAAAGTAAAAAACAACTAAATGACCTGAACAAATAAGTGTATTTACACTAAAAGACTTAATCTGTTGACATCATCACTGACAAAGAGTCCAATCCAAGGCCAGGCGCTGCACCGTGTCTCCTGTTTTCACTCAGAATGACAGAAATGCTCAGCTCCAGCCTGCATAGCTGAATGTCACTAACAAATACGTGAGATTATATTAGATATGTCCATCTTTTACACTGTGTGTATCATGAGCCAGGCACACTGACACCCACTCCAAAGCACAGAACTGAGTCAGGACTCCATTTGAACTTTCTACCATCAAATTTACAGGAAATTTCACTTCAAACACAATTTTCCTGCTTCTGAAACGATTCTTTCTTGTATTTACAAAATCTGGGTGTCAATACAATAAAATAAAAATAAAAGTAAAGCAGAAAAATAACATCATCTACTCATCCTCAAGAAGAAAACTGCTGTTAGAAGACAGCAAATGTGTAGTTCAGTCTAAAAGCAGACGTCGTTCAGAAACAACATAAATATACCCACTAGCTAGTCCTCAATATAGACACAGCTATGGAGGAAAAATAACTTTAAATGTTGCTGCTTGCTTGTAACTGAGAGACTGAGACAGCGTCTCAGGGCTGCTGGAGTCCCCGTGAGCTCTGTTTGCTTAAGCAGGCTGCGTTTTCCTGCATGACAGTACTGATCACTGACACTGAGCCTTTTTGTTCTGGTTTTGTTTTTAAACCAGGGGGCCACTTCTGGAGCGATGTAGGAGGAGAGAAACCGGAGTGTGAAGAGAGGCCGCTGTAATGGCTTGTTTGCAGGTTAAGAGGTCCTTTGTGCATTGTTTGTCTTTCATTCTGAGCGCAAAATGAGCCGTTTAAACTGAGCTCTGACAGTGTGAGGTTCTGCCTGCTCGTGGCTTTCCCTATAACTGCTGAGTAAGACGCTGCGTGGCAATAACCTCAGCAGCAGTGCTGGTGTGTGTCTGTGTGAGTGTGTTTGTGTGCGCCTGACCCAGGAGGAGGCCCAGATGAGAATATAACCATTGTTTCTGCTGGAGGATGAGGACCGGGGCGACAAGCCAGCCCAGTAGACTCTTTCCTTTATTAGAGCCAGATGTCTGTGGGTGTTAGAAAGGAAAACTAAGGCTGTTTGATTCGAACCTCCAGACACGGACATGTGCACAAACGGACACCAGCAATGAGTCCAAAGCAACAAGAAGGGATCTGCAGCTACAACATCCAGCCCGAGGGGGAAAAGGCGTATGTGTAATCTGATTTAGATGTGCTGACTAACCAGGGGTCATAATGAGACAGTTTTCAAGCAGAGTGGACCTGGATTTATTCTATCAGAAAGAAAACATCATACTGCAACTCCAAAGAGTTAGGGACTCAAAAACCATCAAAATCCTTAATGAAGTACAATCAGTAGTGTTATATATATATTTACGCTTGTCTTGCTAATCTCTCAGGATGAGATCAAACTTAGTGATCAGGCCAGAGCTGTGATAATCCTGTCGCCACGTCATCACCGCTGGAACGCTCTCGTCACACAGAAGGACTTTGCAACCTAAAGCACCTCGAGGCGATTGTTGTTGTTGTTATTTGGTGCGATACGAAAACATGGAATTATCCTGAATTGAATTAAATTGACTATATTAACCACAATGCCCCCTCACACAGATCTGCTGACCTCCCTGAGCCTGCTTCTGCTGCAGGGTTCTTCCTGTTAAAAGGGAGTTTTTCCTTCCCACTGTCGCCAAAGTGCTTCAAAGGCAGTTGTTGTTCTCTCTGTTATTCTCAGGTCTGTACCTCACAATATAAAGTACCTTAAGGTGATTGTTGTTGTGATTTGGTGCTATATAAATTAAATATTCTAACGCTGTGAAATTAATTTGAAGCTGGAGTGGATTAAAATGTACAAACTGGTGTAAAACACAAAACGACTCCCTCTGTCACTATAGTGTGTGACGGGCAGCCCATCCTCCCTCCTGTGTAGTTATTGCCATTACACAACATTAATCACACCACAGGATCCTTTCTCTGTTATGTTGATTGTTGACGTGTCTTCTTTGGGATGTCCTAAATGGCAATGATGTGTACTTAACAGTGACTGTGGGTCTCTGAGGCCCTCAGCCATTTTGGCACCAAACGTCTGACAATATGTAAAAAAACATAAATTTTGAATGATGTGAAGCACAGAAAGACAAAGCCAAGGGCCAAAAATGTACCACAAGAAATGAAAAAGTTTGAACTTCTCTAAAGTGTCCTAAATGTTTTTCAGCCCAAGAAAATAAAATATTAAATTCTTCCCATCTTAGTTTCAACAACAAAGCAAATTAAATAATCTTTTCATTGCTGCTCGCAGCAGTGATTCATAAGACAATAAAAACAAATAAAGCATGAAGACGAGAAAAGAGGATCATTTAGTGAAAAACAGGTTTGGTTGCTGGAGCAGGGGCACGTCCACGAAGCTCCTCTATGCAGGGCATGGCGGTAATGAGACTCAGCGCCTTTAACCCTTTAACAGCCACACAGGCCGTCTCTCGTCTTGTAGGTTAGAGGCAGGCCGGTGCGCCCACTGAGCGAATCCTGTACCTGTCCAGACACGTTCTGTAGCTCAAAGTATTAAGGATGCTTGGTGTTACAGGCAATGATACGTAAGCACTTCACTGCTGTGGCAGAAGGGCCGACAAACTAATGCTAGAAACCAGTGACAGCGAGCTGTCGGCTGCACCGCCACACTACTAATGTGGAGGTCTTGAGAGTGGAACCGCAGCCATCAGCTGCAGTAATCCTCGAGGTGGTGATGAGGCAGTTTCCCTCTCAGCTGTATGAATCTAATGAGAGCAAGCATGATGGGTACTGGCTCACCACGCCGAGAGCTCGGTGGAAGATGTGAAGTGTGCCTTACAATTTGGCGGAGTTTCTATATTGATCAGAAGGAGGGGGAGACAGACTTAGCTCCCATAATGCTTTGGGGTCAGGGCACGTGCGAGGACGCTGTTTGCTTTGCAGAATCTGAAGCAGCCTAATTTGTCAGCAGTTTGCTTAAACGTGTAGGGAACAACATCAGGAGAATCCCTCATCCAGTCCATCCTCTGAGGATAACAACCATGAAGACCTGCTTCACCCACACATTTCAGTCTTTGCATGCGTCTAGTCCATTTAGCCCGCATCCCTGTCCAGTCGGTGCTGACTGAACATCCTCTGAATTATTCCCAGAAACTCACACACCTCCGGCACCTGTTTACACATCAATTTTACAGTTTTTTAAATCAAGTTTGTTCCCATAAAATTCTGCCCTCCGCTCATTTCCTTTTATCTGTTTGACCGAATCAGCCGCTCTCAGAGTCCCATCTCTGTCCACCATTACTCCGACCTCAGGTAGCTGGGTATGGAGTAGTTGAACATGAGGAAGTCTAACTTGTAAAGCTGGTAGAGCTGGATCTGCTGCTGAGTGCTGATATTGCTGAAGAACTGAGCCGTCATAGCATCCGTGGTACGAGTGGACTTGGCGTAGGTCGGGAAGCGCAGGGAGTCACCTACACCCACCAGCTGCAACAGGTAGTTTGCATCCTCCTCCAGTGTCTCATACTTGCCCACCATGTCATAGTGGATGTGACACGGGTGACAGAGCTGGTACACAGTCTGCCAGTGCTCGTTGAGTCCGTCCCGCTGTGTGGCCGGGTCCACCAGATACTCAATGAACTCTTTGAATTTGACATCAGCCCCGTTGAGCAGGGCATCCTGCGTGGCGTTCTTGCGGTAGCGGCGGATGATTCGGGTGCCAAAGCGCTTGTGGAAGGATGAGTTGTACTTGAGGGTGAACTTGTTGCGATATGCAGAGACCAGCCTCTCGAAGGGCTCACGAACAAAAAGGAACTTGAGGTAGTTCTTGAGGCGGTGATTGATCTCGGCAATGCTGTACTGATTCAGTGTCTTAAGGTTGGAGGGAACGTGGGCTTCATTGGAAGGAATTTCCATTGGGTCACTGCGTGAGAGAGGCACGAGACAGTGAAGAACAACAGAAGCACTTATTTTCCTTCCTCTCTGTACAGTACCAAACTCACCTGTACTTGCCCCGGCCTGTAAGCACCATCATGACACGTTTCCAGTTGGTACAGGCCACCTTGGGGACATAGCAGTAGATAAGCTCATGGTCTTCATCCACCACGAGGTGTTTGAGGTCTCCGGGTGTCAGGACTCTCCGCTTACGACTCGATGCGCTGTAGACCCGACAGGCATCGACTACCTGATCCCTCCTGGCCTGGTGGAGGACAGCAGCTCCTGATAACTCCGTCTGAGAGAGAGAGAGAGAGACTACTGTGAAATTCAAATAAAAGGCTTCAGGAGGGTAAGTACAGCACAAGATGTGAACAGTCAGTTTTACTTTAATTATGTAGTTTACAGCACAGAGTTGAAAAGAATCCAGAGTAAACAATGTGTGATGTGCAATAAAGGTCCCTGAACAAACACTGGTTCCCAGCTCAAACTGGGTGGTTAGCCAACTTTCAGGATAATTACCAGATAAACCAATGAACCCTCTTTAGGCTGATGTAAAAAATAAATCTTTTTTTTTCAGCTGTGATTGATTGGGTTCAGCTAACCACAAGCTTAAAGAAGAAAAACTCATTGGCTAAATGAAAAGCTCCGATTCCCATGTTACTAGTTTGGACGAGTATGTCCCAGTGAAAGCCCGGCTGTAATCTGCGTGAAGGGATGAACAAAACAAACAAAATGAACTGCCTACTGGTTTTATTACCAGTTGATCTGATAAGGAATCCAATAATTAAACCCAACAACACTTCATCATTAGCTAAACTCTGCGCAAGTCGTTTGTAACAAATGTAACAAAATGTGACAATTGTGGGATTTTTGTTGACAATAATTGAACCCAAGAAAGGGAACATACTGTATTAGTCACCAACATTCATATTTAACTCACTACACTAGTTATTGTAGCAGAATAATAAAATATTATTTCACACATTTGTTCTGAAACTTAAAGATGTTTTAGTGCTCTTGGTCACTAACACGGCAGTGAGAAAAAGCCGAGCACTCTACAACTGAAATGAATCAGAAAGAGGGCATGAGGACGGATATGGAAAAGACAGGCAGTTAGATAGCGAGTTATCAATCTTAGGCTTTATTATCATACTCATCTCTTTATTCACTCTATCTTTTTGCCTTATTTGAGTCATTCCACAGACTGTGATAGAGATTAGTCCATGGGTGTGGAGGAAAATAATGATATTGGAGAATATTACAGATCCTGCAAGTTCGGTATGAGTGGCTCCAGTCGGTAATCATTTATCGGAGGCATATTTCACCGTCCCAGTGATGCCTGTGGTGAAGCCGACCGTGGCAGGAGAGAAAGGATGAGGTTACAGAAAGAAATGAGAAGAGTAAGAGCAGTATGGAAGTTTTGCATTTTAGGGGCGGGAATGTTTGCTCGTGCCTCTTGATTATTTTTCCTCTGGGTCTACATTCCCCTGTAGGGCAGTGCTCTGGGTTCCTCACAGTATCTAAATTGATTTTACTGTGGCCTGCAGCCTTACCACTCTGTCCCACTCCACACAGCCATGGCCTTTCAGTGATACACTGTCAGGGGCTGAGAGGGTGGGAGAGATGCTGACATGAAGTAATGAAACAACACTGGGGCTAACAGGGAGTCTGTACACGAACACAGCTTTGACTAAAGAGGTTTGCATGTGATTCTCTTTGACGCCAGCTTTCAAAACAGGTCTCCAAGTTTGCAGTTCATCACACGCACAGCTTGCTACGGCATCATGGGGAAAGCTTTTACAGTAGGGGATTGCACGATGCGCTCCTGTTATCCCGTAGCTAACAAGTCTACAACGATCCCAGCTGGGGCGAGAGGCGCGGTACACTCTGGGCAGGCGACCAGTCTATCGCAGGGCAAACACAACAGACAGTCACACCGACGGGCAATTATAATCATTTAACCCAACCCTACTAACTGCATGTCTTTGGACTGTGGGAGGAAGCTGGAGTACAGAAAGGCCCCGGCTACATGGGGGAGTCGGACCCAGGGACCTTCATGCCACCGTGCTGCCCCCCATAAGTCAAATAAGACATCTATAAAATACACTTCTTGAACTAAACCAAAAAATGAAGTACTTACAATCGTTTTTTCTCACTATCTTTCTGTTCACTTATCTAGTGCTCAGTTCATTTAAGTATATCTCACAAAAATACTCTACATTTAAATACAAATACAAACCTGTCCACAAAAATGATGTGGACAGGTTTGCAAAGCAGTTTCATACTGTGAGTCACCTGGTGGTCCAACCTGTCTCCTGACAATTGTTTGCACAGTAGTGTCTCAGTTATAAGAAGCACACTGACTCACACTGACTCACACTGACTCACACTGACTCACACTGACTGGGCCTCGGTGTAAAACATTGCCAATTGGTTGTATTTTGGTTATATCCCTATACAAAAACACGGTTGCCCAGCACTTACAATATTTTGCAGTCAAATGTAATTTTGTGTAGTAAAAATAAATAAATAAAACACATGCAATCCTTGCTCTCCCTGACCAAAAAATAACTTCCTGTCACATTAGACAGCTCTGCACAAAACTAGGATTTATTTTAAACTAAGATTTGCTTTTTTGCACAAGACACAATATTTTATTCCCACCAGAGAAAAAGTAATATCTAGATCTTTCTTCATTGGGCAACGATAAAAGAGTATTTTCAAAAGTTGCTGTCTTTATTAGAATTAAAGCAATAGTGGGCGTCCTTTATTCCCATAGTTACTCCTGTTTTTGGGAAAGGGAAGTGGAGCTTTTTCAGGATGGACAATGAAAGTCTCCAGTCAAGATGAAGTGCTGCTTTCGTGCGTCTCCCACTTGTTTGCTCTTTTATGCATTTTGCAGTCATGGTCATCAACTCCAAAGCATCAAAGCCCACTAAGGCATAAGAGCTCTTTGTTGATGAAACTCTTAAAGAAAAGGAAGAAGTGGGAGCATCAGGCTATAATTCCCTCAAATGTTGCAGCAGACATGCAGCCCTCCATCTCAGCACAGTTTAAACTGTATTTAACTCGGGAAAAGACACAAGGGGATCTTCTCAGGCTTGGCCTCAGTTTTCCTCTCATCTCTCTTCTTTCTCTGGGATCACTTTCTACCACTTATCTCATCTTTAGGCAGCCCTGTGAAGTCTCTTGTGGGGTTTTGATGAAGAGTGAGAACAGGGATGAAAAGCAGGAGGAGGAGATGAGATGTGGTGGAGGTCACTGACCTCTGGCCATGTCGAGCTTTTCCCATTGGACAGCAGACTATAGCACTAGCAAATATGCTTGCCCATTTCTGCCCTGATACTTTGTGGACACAAGCTAGTGAAACGGCACCAAATAAGAGCCAGTGTCATAAAATGTCATAAAACCACAGCTATAAAAGTAGTTAGCCGCGACACATTTTATGGCTAATTCAGTTTGATCTCTTCCAATAAGAGCCTCAAACATCCAGCTCAGCAGTTTCTGCATGCAGGTATACTAGATGATGAATTACTTAGTGTTACAGACACCATGCACTGATATGGAAGTGAAGGTTTAGTCCCTATTTCTCTCTGGCAAACACCATCACAACTTTGAGAAAACCGGGGGGCTGGAAATCCTTAATCCCACCACGAAAGTCATTGTCAGCAGCGTATCTGCAAACAGGGAAGGCTTTACTTCCTTATCCTGAGGGTTCGAGATGATGGGAAATGCACATCCTCTCCTTCCTGCACATTTGTTGTTAAAATGTGTGAGAAAGTGATGAAAGGGCAACATGGAGACTGTGTTTCAATATTTCAAGTCTTCATTTCCTCACCACGACTGTGTTATTGTCTCTGAAAGTTGTTATGAGTTTGAAATATCATCTGTGTATCAGCGCTGAGCGGCTTGTCGCAGCGGTGGTAATGAATAGCTTCCTCCTAATCTGCTGATGATAGCAAAGAAAGAGATAAAGGAAGGAAGCCAGGAAGTGATCACTAAAGGACAGAAGAAACATATTCCAGTGAAAGTCTGTAAACTAGCTTACATACAAACGTAGACCCAAGGCTAAAGTATCAACAAAGCAAAGCAAGCCAGGGACGCAGGAAGTCTCAGGGTTACATCAGTTTGGTCACTTTGATTTGACCAAAGTCTCTGACAGAGCCTTCATCAGACTGTTAATTGGCTGCCTTGGCAGTCGTTTTATATACGTGTGCTATAACCTGTGTTTCTGTATTGTAACAAAGTTAAGACAAGTGTAAAATATTCTGAAAGCTAAAATAAAGATTGAACCAACCATATTTTTGACAGTAAATCATCTTCTGTTACTAATCAAACAGTTTTAGTACAGATTAGGTCTTAAAGACTTTTACTATGTAGCTGAAGATGACTAAAATTACACTTGAATGTTCCAGTTAGAGTCATGAATTTTCACGGTGCAAAAGTAAGAAATTCACAATTTGTCTCATGTAGTGACCTGAGGATGTTTCTTCAGTGTAAGCTAAATGCTGAGGACCAAAAGGTTAGGGGAAAGAACAAAATGGACAAGGATGCAGCGAGTGAGAAGGAAAGACTATGACTTGACTGGCAAAGAGAGCTGGCTGATAAAAGGAGAGTAGATATACTGTGCGTGCAGTTGTCCAGGGTAAATAAGGGGGAGGCTAGGAGCTTAGGAGATGGACTCAAACTGGTCTACAACGGTGCCAACAGAAGGGGAAATGGACTTTATTGGCTAGACTGACAGACTAAGTTAGAAAGGAAATGTACTAATGATTGAAGGGAGTGTGTTGAGGGGTTTGTGATGAAAGAAAATAAGAGAGAGAGACAGATGGATGGCAGTTAGTGAATCAGGAAGTGCAGAGGACGAGTAAGGACAACGTGAGGATGAAGAGTGGAAAGGTGGTTGGTCCTGATGACATACAGCGGACTTTTTTTTAACACAATCTAGGAGGATGAAAAAATGCTTGAGGAATGGAGACAAAGTGCCAATTTTCAAGAACAATGATGATGTGCAGAGCTGTAGTAACTACAGAGAGATAAAGCTGATGAGCCATACCAAGAAAATATGTGAAAGAGTTCTTGGCGGGCTGATAATCAGTGAGCAGCAGTATAGCCAAGAAGGAGCACTACAGATGCAATGTTTGCTTTGAGAGTGTTGATGGAGAAGCACAGAAAAGGTCAGGACAGCAGCACAGAGAAAGCATATGATAGCATGCCTGGAGAGGAACTGTGGTGCTGAAGGAATCAGGAGTGGCTGGTGCAGCACATATATGAGTGTGTGAACAGATCTGTTTA